CATTTGTGGTTGATGAGTTATAGCCGTTCAAAGGTAACCAATCACACTTGCGTTTCTTTTGTGGGCCACTGTATATTCCACTTCTTCTGATCGTGCATATTTTGTGATTTTAGATTTTCATTCTTCTGGTGATAGAAGCTATTATGGTGATAGTATTAAGGACCCTGAAATCGAATGCAAAATGTAATTCCTCATTATATCCATCTAAGTGTAGCCTATCTAAGAACTTAGCTCTATATAATAGGAATTTCTTGCCTAGCAGATCTTCAAAAATATATTGGCAATTTCTTTCTCTAGTGTGATGACAGTGGATACCATTCAAATTTTTTCATGATATATTTTAGTGAATATTCCTATTGATGTGTACTATTTTTACAAGACCAAAGATACACAATATGACTATTTATCTGTCCAGTCCTTCTTAGACACCGACCACTACATCTTTAAGTATAACCAATGGCTTAGTTTAACTTACTATTGATAGGAGAAGCATAAACGAAATTTACAAATAATATACTTTGAGATAGATACTCAACTTTTTCTAGGTCAGCTATTAACATGAGTTCTTCTTGCACAAACTTACGTGATGAAGCATATTCATCATCACTTCTGAGATAATATAAAACTGGTTCATTCTTTATAATAACTACTTTTCAGATTTTATGAAGATTTGGACTCCATATCGGATTAGTTGCTTGCCTTTAATTTTTCATACCCCTTTCCATTCTGTATTGGCAAGTAAGTAGCAAACAGTATCACCTTTTTTTAATGCTATTTTATCTTTTTTAACTGGACGCTTATATTTTGTAGATAATCTAGATTCTACTCGTTTTAATGTAATAGCTTTCACTGGCTCGAGTCCTCACTTTCTAATTCCAGTTCTCGAATAAGATGTGTGTAATAATTATTTAGATAATTGATAATTATTGGCAAATGCCTAACCTATACTTTTATCAATTTTGAATTGGAATATATAGATTCAATAGCATCTTGGATTATATAGAGTATTTTTGTGAGTGTCTTGTTAAAATGTTCTGCAAAAGCTACTTCTCAATAAGAATATGCACTAATCACTCAAATAATAATATTATGCTTCTTTATCAATCGAGAAGTCTTTCCTATAAATTCACGACTCCTATCACATTATAAAATTCTGGCTATACAAGAGGATTATTAGGATCATCATATTTTTTTTTGAATGCTTTAGCAACTTCTGAACTCTTCTTCAATGTGAATGGAATAGAAGCCTTATATTGAAAAGCGCAGTCTATTATATTAAGTACTGCTATATATTTTTTACGCTTATAATGATCATATGTAAGGAATAGCAAATCACATTAGTGTACGTAATTTGGGTAGGTTATTCGGCTATAGCTACATCTAGGAATATTCTTCAAACAGGTTTTATGTATTTGATATATATATTGCTATTTTAAAAAATCATAGCATTCTTTTAAGCAGAAACGATACCCTTCTTTTTTACATGCATCTCTTGCCTTAAATGCTTTCAGTAAGGATTTAAGATTAGAATAATAGCCAGTTAGATGATAATATATATCATGTAATATAATATTTTTTTCGATTCTCTAGGCCTTATCAGGATCTATTTGGATTATAGGAACCCTTGTTTTTTTACTTATCCTTTTCTCATCTCTTAAAAAGATAGAACTATCTATAAAAAAAAAATAAAACAGTGCTGATGTCTGAAAATAAAGTATATGATAATCAGATACAATTTTTAAAGTGCAATTTATATCATAGTGAGCTAGAGATATTTCAATTATATAAAATAAAAGAGATCTCAGAGTAGGAGATATCTGATCTTAAAAGCCAGATAATGGCATTAGAGATAAAAATTCATAATCTGAAAATGATTGCAGAGTGTAGATTGCTATTTATAACTTTTTGAGAAGATCAGATATCGAAAGAATTATTTAAGCTTTATAAAGAGATATTTCAGTTAAAAAATAGGATTAGTGATCTTATCATAGTCTCATCAAGTAATATACCTGGTTCTAAAGGGACCCCTTCAATACTATTAACAAGAGATTCTTCATCTTTTTCATTGTCTTCATTATTATTAGATCATAATCAACCTTTATCAAGCAATATAACTTCTAGCTTATCAGGTACATCGGGGATATAAGACTATATATATAGAATAGATGAATGTGAAAAAATTAATTATCATACTACTATCTGGGTAAACCGTTTAAAATGAGTAGGACGTATTGCTGATAATGAAATAAATTTACACAAAGTTCGAGATTGGTTAAAAAATTTTGAAGATAATCTTTTACAAGCTAAAAAAACAATAGCTGAACGTGATAGAGAATTACAAAATATTCAGAATACTTTGAAAGACGCAGAAACCTTAAATGAAATATTACAAGAAGATCTTGCTAAAATAACAGAAAAGTCTCGATCACTTTCTGGTGGCTTCTCTAGTGAGAAAGTTTCTATTGAAATATTATAAGAAGAATTCAACTGATCTATTAAGCATCATCGCAATTTGAGTAAACAACTTAATGAGGAATTATCAGCTAATATTTCATCTTTAATACTACCTTCAGTAAAGCTAGAAAAAAACTTATCTCTTTAAGAGGTTTGCTGATTATTAGAGAAAGAGTATGAAAAAACTTTAAAGGTTATAGGTCTTGCTAATACTGCGAAAAAAAAATTCAAAAATTGATACAAGTTATATATAGTGGAAGTCCTTCTCCTTCTGAAATATCAAGTTCTCATTTAGAATTTGATGATGAGATTTTAGGTAATTTAGGGGATAATACTAATGTTTCAGAAAATTCTATGCCTGATTTCCTATCCTATGATGAAGATATAGGAGCTATTAATGATTGGCTAAAAGAAGAGAAAACTAGATTACTATGAGAAAATACTTACCTTATTTTTATTTCTTAATTTCAGATCTGTAAAGCTAAGATAGCACAAGATTTATGGGTTAATACGAGAAGAGATAATTGACAACTGAATGCTCAACTGCGTGAATGTTGAGATGACAGGAGAATACTAGAATATAATTGAGATCAGCTTTTTGATAGATATGAGAAATGGAAAAATAAAACACATGAAGAACACTAAATAATATTTAATTTACAAGAAGAAATTTTAGCATTACAAAATAATCCACTAAATATATCAGGAATGGTAGGATACAGACCCCCAATATTTTATGATCATCCTGAAAAGGATCTAGAAGATTAGCTTAAGAACATATAAAGATATATAATAGCTAGTCAAATAAATGTTGCACCTGATGTAGGTCAAGTTGCTAGAAGAGAAGAGGCATTTGGATTAGTAGTATTATGTCTTACAGGTGATGCATTAAATTTTTATTTAACTTGTATTAAAGGCAAAATTGAAGATGTAATAATCTCTCAGACAACTTAGATATAGCAGACTTAAATGCTGTTCAAGCAATAGATGTTAGAAATAGTGGTAATCAAATTGGTGGTTTGAATACTGTTAGAGAATTTCAAGATAAAGCAGGAGCTGAAATTGGTAGAATTAAAGCAGGATCGCAACTGATGCTGATATTATTCTGAATAGAATATGGGATGAAGACTGGTCTATTGCAAGTGATGAGCCTACAAATAATACACTAGTAGTACTGAATGCTAGAGGTGGTCTTTCTGCTGTTACTATTACTTCTAGTATTAAGCTTGGTCAACTTTTTTATCTGCTTAAAACTGCTTATACAACAGTTGAACATTTAAAACAAACAGTAGTATTTGGTCAACTCATGCAGGGTGATTTGTCAGTTAAGCAATTCTCCACTAGAATTAAAAAGATTAGTAAATTAACTGAAATAACTCCTAAATAGCAAAGAGAGTAATTTATTTGTGGTCTATCTCTGATGAATCAATACAATCTTCGAATAATGGCCAAATTTTATGATACTCAGGATAATATTACAGAAGCATTGGCTAAAGTGGAAAAATTTACATTATCTCAACAGAGTGCATCATCTTCTTTTTCAATTTTTCCAGCGGCCAATCTATATGCAGATACTAACAGATTAGGGATAAACTAAAAATGAAATTAAGAGCTTGGTAAAAAATACAATAACATCCTTAGAACCTCAATAGCCTCAACAAGTAGTTTCATCACAATTTCAACCACATCCTGCAGGAACGTATAAAATTTACAAGATGAAAATATAGGTAAATTTTTATCATAGATTATGGAAGAAACTCTAGAATTTGTTCCTGTTTCTAATTCTACTTTACTACCAAAGCTAAAGAAAAAGGTTGAAGTTGATTCTGACAATGAACTTACTGAGCTCACAAAAAAACAATTAAACTTACATTTGACTAGAGCTATTAAAAAAGTTGTAAAACTATAACATAAATATTCTGTCTATAGTAAGACTAGATATAATTCTCGCAAATGCTCTCAAAAGAAGAAAAAGAAAAATAAGAAGTCTAAAAAAGGTAAGGTTAATTTTACTTTAGATCTAGATTCAGATTCAAATTTAGATTCTTCCTTAGACAATATCTCATCTAGTGATAGTTCTGATTTAAGTTCTGATTTTGATTTTTCTAATTCTGAAGATGAGTTTAATATTAATATGGTTAAGACAAAAAATAATGAAGTGGAAGTCTAGCCTTAAGAAATTATCCTCAAAGAAGCAGTCTAAGAAAAAATCTAAGTCACATAAATCTATTAAGCAAACTGATAAGTAGAGCTCTGAATCAGGTCAGGTCAACCTGTTTACCTAACCTGACCTGACCTGAAAATCCAGGTCAGGTCAGTAGATTTTCAGATTAATGTCAGATCAGGTCAACAGGTCGAACTGACCTAACCTGATCTGACAAAATTCAGGTCAACCAATCATTATTCTTGAATAATATTTTATCATTCAATTAGAACGATTCATTATCATTCAAAAACAATGTTTTTATCGTTCAATTAGAATGATTCGTTATCGTTCTTGAATGATGATTTTATCGTTCTTGAATGATGGTTTTATCATTCAAAAATGATGTTTTATCATTCTTGAACGATGTTTTATCGTTCAATTAGAATGATTCGTTATCATATGAGAACGATGATTTTATCATTCTTGAACAATTTGTTATCATTCAAGAACAATAGTTTTATCGTTCAAGAATGATGTTTTATTGTTCAATTAGAACAATTAGTTATCATTCTTGAATGATAGTTTATTATTCTTAAACGATGTTTATCATTCAATTAGAATGATTCGTTATCATTTGAGAATGATGATTTATCATTCAAGAATGACGGTTTTATTATTTGAGAACAATAGTTTTATCATTCAAGAACGATTAGTTATTATTCAAGAATGATGATTTTATCATTCAAAAATGATGATTTATTATTTAAGAACGATGATTTTATCGTTCAAAAATGATGATTTATCATTCAAGAACGATGGTTGTATCGTTCAAAAATAATGTTTTATAATTTGATTAGGTCAGGTTGGGTCAGGTCAGGTTAAATAAAAATTTAAATCAGATTGGATTTTTGTTTGACCTGACCTGATCCTCTCAGTTCAGGTAACTTGATTGACCTGATCTGAACTGACCTGTTCAGAACTCTACTGATAAGACAGATATTAAGAAGCCTATAGTTAGCTCTGATAAAACTAAACAAAACAAACAAAGTAAATAAAACACTTTAGAGGATACAATCTGCAAGATTATTCAAAGTAAACTTAAATTAATTTTTTCTGCACTTATTACCTAAGATTTTAAAGCTGATGCGTTAAAACAAGCACTTCCTATTCAGGAAAAGATAGAGTTTCAGAGCGATAAGGTCCTAATTACCAAAGATATATTACCAGACCTAGAGGAAGAAAAATATTTAGATGATCCAATAGAGATTGATTTTATTCAGAAGAAGGAGACAAAAACAAGTGTTATAACTGTAAAATGTAAAATCAAGCATTTAAAGATCCTTACTATGATTCTTGATTCTGGAGTAGAGCCTCCTATTATAATAGAAAATATTGTTAAGCATGTGGGGTTGAAATTAATAAATGATCTCAATGGTATTACTACAGTTCTGATTGAATCTATTAGAATTGTTCATAATTTGCCAATTACTCTTGCCTCAGGATATACTATCTATGAAGATTTTGTTGTTGTAAGATATCATAAGCCTACGCTAATATTTTCAATCAACTTTTAAAAAAGTACAAATGCGCAATAGATTGAAATACTAATGAGCTAAAGATCTTTCTTAATGAAAAAGATTATATCTTCTCAGTCATTATGCATAAGGTCAAGAACAAGCTCGAAATGAATTGTGCAACTACTACTTCTGAATATGACGATTCTTCAACTTTAGATAGAATTTTGCAAGACTTGCAGGATAATAATACATTAACAAAAAGTGAGTTATGAAGAGCTTGAAAAAATGTTATTTACTAGTATTCAAACAAATTTAAAAATTATAGGGTATTATAATGATTTGTATAGTTGTAAGGCTAAGTTTTAGTTGTCAATTTAAATGTAAAAGTGCGTCTCTTTGTCTTAACCTTTTTTATTTTAATATTCACTTTCTTAAACATCTCTGAAACATCTCCAGAATTTTACAAAATAATAAGTAATTAGTTAGGAGACGATTTGCTAAAGAAATCAGGTAATATATCTATTGTATCTTTTTTTTCCTCTAAGTCTTCACTTACTATTTTCAATGAATCATCAGAAACATGAATAGATTTAGACTCCAATGCTTTCTTTTTCTGCTCCAATTCATATTTTTTACTTTGTTACGATCGTTCACAACTTTTCTATATATCATGAACATATTCTTTACGTATATGATAATCTCTCACTATCATATATGTAAGAACTTATTTTTGAGATGCCTAATTTCTTCGATTTGCTCAGCCGACAAATCAGTGGCACATTGTCGATAATGAGTTTATAAAAATGAGTTGGCTATGTAATTCTTCCATTAATTTTATAATAATAAAAAATGATAGAAAATGATATTTATTATTCTTAAATGATAGAAAATGATATAAAATGTTGTAAAATGATACAAAATGATATTTATTGTATTTATAACATTAAAAAACAATAAAAAATGATAAAAAATAATATTTATTATTTTAAATCAATAAAAAATACTACCCTCAAATCAGTAAAAAAAATGTAGGTTTTATTAAAACTAGCGATAAGAAGAAAACAAAAGATGAATTTTTGCTTATCTTTTTTTTTCTTACTTTATAACCAGGTATAGAATATGAAAATGTTCATATCTTAAAAGATATTAGTTCAGGGTAATGCTTGTAAAATAGAACTTAAAAAGATATTGCGTAATAGTATCTAATCCATTTCTGAACTTACCAATGAATATAATGACATGCAGGGAGTCTATTCAAGCTATAGTAAAAGAAATGATCAAGACAAAGCTAAATTGCACTGTAATCTAGAACAGGCTGAGACTAATAATAGGAAACTCTCTGATTGCATTCATTAGCTTATAGATGAAATGTCACAACTACAATCAGAGATAGATTCTCTTAATTTTTAAATTTACTTACAAAAATATTTCTCTTGCAGAATCTAAGGACAAACTCACTACAAAATCGAAAGAGATAAAAACCTTCCAATTCAAGTTGAAAATATTGAAAAAGAATTCATCCTTAGCTCAAATGAACTTATCTGAAATGGATTCCCTTAGGCTTGAATTGGAACAGGTGAAGGATAATTTGTCTTCAAAAAAATACGAATTAGAATGTCTAGAAAAGAGGTAGAGAAAAAAGATAATATATATAAATGAACATTAGACTCTTTGTCTTCAGCATGATTAAATTTAACAGAGGAAAATTCTCGTCTCTGTGAGATAATCTCAAAAAAAGATAATGAGATAGTAGATCTTTCTAATCCTCCATTTCTGCCTATAAATGATTTATTACAAAAGCTACCAGGTTGGCTCAGTGATGATTTAAGACCCTTTGTCTATGAGTGTGGTCTTGAAGATAAAGTGAGGGAACTTGGCAAAGAGTATGCTAAAAAAGATATTCTAGAGGTATTATAAGAGTTATTACCCCAGGATGAGATAGTTCTGAGAAGCGGTTCTAAGATGTTCAGCCAGACAGATATTCTACCTAATCAGTCTGTTCATAGTCAACTAGCACATTCTAAAAAGTTTATTTTAAGAGAAGAGGTTACGAAGCAATTGGGTGATGCAGAAGTGGTGTCTTTACCAATAACTTCTTCTATCATCATGAGCTCCTTGATGTCACCTATGTTAATATATTCCATACTTACCCTAGTACTTATTGTAATTATATGGATTGTGGTCAGGAAAAAGCTATGGAATATATAGAAAAAAAGTGATTAATATATTCAGACTAGCAATTTACATCTCTAGGATATCCAAGACTAGGTTATATGATCAGAGGTCAAAAGTTCAAAGATAGAAATTGAAGTTAGTCAGTATTATTGCACAAGAAAAAATATGTAAATAATATTATACAAAGCGCCTTAACGGTTAAGTAATCTTAGTTGAAATTGCTACATCCCACTATGAGTACTTAATAATATATTCATTTCGGATGAATCATCAAAATACCTAGAAAGTTTATTGTAAACTTTTATATATTTTTTAAGCCAGTTTTTTGCCTTTCTCTAGAAATAATCATAGATCTCCTTTTTCCTTTTATCTGAATCTTTAATCTGTATTATTTTATCTGATGACGATGGTTAAAATCTATCATCTTCATTAATGAAACGTGCGCACATTCTTACCATTTGTTCTAAATAGTAGCTGATATCTATCTTCATATTAAACTCTTTCGCAATATTTGTGAACTACATATAATCGCTCTTTTTTGTTAATTTTGTGTTATTTTCTTTATAGTGAGGACCATTGTTTACTACAACATAACTAAAATACTTGCTAGAGTCAGGATTTTTATATTTTTTTTTTCACTTGCTATTCTTTCTCTCATCTGTTCCATAAAGATTTTATTGCATGTAAGACCTCCTTTAGCCTTCCATTTGAATATTGTAACAAACTGGTTAAAATCTCACTACCTAAATCTAGCATTTCAGAGAACATCTTCAACAATTTTTTGAATTAGATGTGTATTATTGATACCTATAGCCTCTCATATAATCTTTTTTCCAATAAATCTGAAGAGCTTAGAATTCTTTTACTTTACAGTATCAATTCCTTTCTTAAAGAGATTATCTAGTCTAAAGTTTACTTCATCTTTATGTCTAACCTCAAAGTACTTCTTTTTACCAGCAAAGCAAATAGGAAATAATACCTCTTCGTATGCCATATTTAGATAAGATATCCTACTTTTTATTTTAAGATAAGTGTTTATTTAATTGTGTAACTTTTTTATTATATTCATAGTAATTTTGACTATTTCAGTCCAATATGCTTTTTTAGAAAGCTCTTTTTAGAGAAGGCTTCATCGCATTTTTCATAATACTTATCTAGGCAAGTGAGATATAAAGAATCAGTATCTCCATATTTTATTCTAAATACTTTTTTTGTCATGAATTCTGCGACAAGATTAAGGTTGAATTTCTTCGCTAAAGTAGTTCTTTCAGCTAATTCGTGAAGAAAAATTAGAGATTTTGAGTTTCCTGCTTCTCTGTAAAAAGTGTTTATATATACTTTCAAAGCTCTTTGCTTCAAATCTAGATAATCATGATCGAAGTATATAGATGAATATTCTAAATTTAGGCTTTCTGGAATCCTTTTATCTCTCTCTTTAGCTAAACTTATCACCTTCCCAAGTTGTTCTTTTTTCTTTCCTAATGAGGCTAGTCATATTTTAAGCTCCACTTTCTTGTTAAATAAATCCTCTAATATGGTGGGATATAAGCCCTTCTTCTCCAATTGATTATTATATCTTACACACCAAGCATGGATGTCACACTATTAAGCCTAAACACTACGTCATTAAGATAATAAAGCTTATTTGCTAACAGGGAGTTTAAGTTGTAAACTATGAAAGAAATAAACACGAATTTATTTAAGTTGAAGGGTCAGGTTATCTTTATTGATGATTTATGTTTTTAAGGAAATAAATATTGGCAAAGATATAGTTTTTATGTTGTTAAGATTATACTTTATTAATTATACGATTTAAACTTGTTAGTTTGTCAAGACAATAATACAGGATATTTATATAAAATACAATCATAAGATAGAGATAATAAATATAATAATGAAAATAAATATAACTATGATAATAAAAATAATAAATAAAATAATGATAAATATAATAATAAAGAAAATAAATATTACAATGATAACTGTAATAGCAATGAAATAGTGAAAATGATAATTACAATTTTCCTGGTGATCATTGGTGATATTAGTTAGCGTAGTCATCTAGTGATGCAAATAGATTATCACTAATAACACTTATTGAATGAAAAGCTAATCTCATATAGGGTATTCCCATTTTTTCGTGTAATGTCAGCATCCTTTAAACTTAATATAAATTTTTTCAGTGAGAGGTTATATATCATGATAAGGCTAGGATATAGAAATGCAAAATCTAGACCGATTATTAGCCTTTCTGTCTCAATATCTTTTTTAAGTGAAAAAATGTATATGTTAGGATATTTCTCTTTTTCTATATTTTCACATACCCTTGTGTTAAAAACAATATCTCGTTTAATAGTGTAACAGGATTGGATTGATGAACGTGACGCAGTATATTGCAGATCTAAATGTTAGACATATCGGACATATTTGATA